ACCCAGGGCAGCAGTTGTAGTCACAGCTCTATTGTAATACATCTGCCATTCTAACTTGGGTACTCAGAAGAAAGACAGGATGCTCTTCTCTGAAACTGAACTAGGCTGAATCCACATACCAAGGATTGTTGTCCTCATTCTACAGAGGAGGACATTGAAGTCTAGGGAATTTTACCAGCTTTTACAAGTCAAATAGCTAGTCAGTGCAAAGTTAGAATGAGGATTCACATGTGCCCACCTCCAAAGCTCATGTATGACACTGCATCATACATTCTCCATAATTAAGACTTTCTTTAGCATGACTAATGAATTCTCACTGATCCATTCATTTAGCTTACCAATATTTATTGAATGAACATTTGTGCATCCTACAAATAGTAGAGGTATATCCCCTGTTCCACATGTAAGCTCGTTTTTGAGAAGGGCTTCCCTGGTGGCTCAGATGGTAAAGAATCTGCCTACAATTTGGGAGACCCAGGTTCTATCCCCAGATTAGGAAGACCCCCTGGAGAAGGGAATGGCTGCCCACTCCAGTATTCTTCCCTGGAGAATTCTCCAAGACAGAGGAGCCTGGTGGGCCCCAGTTCATGGGGTCGCAAAGAGTGGAACACGACTCAGCGACTAACACACTAACACTTTGAAAAGGCTTAAATATCTTAGCGACTTAATTTATGAGATGCAAAATGAAGTGGAAAACTGACAATTATTGGCTTACTTCAATCAATATAGATGGCAAGCTTGATAATTCAGGCTTGATCTTGTTAACCCCAAACTGGCAGAGGTACAAACATTTTATGTTCTCACTTTTTTTCTAATTCAAGATCATTTATTAGCTTAAGATGTAATAAAGTGGTGCTAAAATAGATACAGAATCAAGCAGTGACAACCGATGTTTTAACTAATGTAATAAAGTAATCAATCTTTAGCTAGGCTAGTATGTTAGTCTATTTTCCTTCAGCATATTTGCTTAGTTGCATGATTATTCACTCTACCAAACTTTTTTGCTATTATTATTACGGTTAATCATTTTTTGATAGTAGCCCTCCAAAACTCTCTGGCTTTGCTATATATTATAAATGAACCACATATTATTATCTTTATAAAATTTAATAAGTCTCATTTTAAATCAGTTCTTCTTTAGACTGTTTATCTTTCCATTACCAATCCCTCCTAGAAATTCAATTAAAATGTAAACTGGATATTTTTGATGTTCTTCATTTAAAATCCCAACATTACTTTTTTTCCCTTAAACGTCTCTCTAATTATGCAGTTGGTCTACACCTGATCTTCTCTTTGGGGTCCCTGGAACATCTTACAACCTCAAAAAACTTCTCACTTCTAATACTGCTGCTACTGCTACTGCTGCTGCTAAGTCACTTCAGTCGTGTCCGGCTCTGTGCGACCCCATCCCTGGGATTCTCCAGGCAAGAACACTGGAGTGGGTTGCCATTTCCTTCTCCAATGCATAAAAGTGAAAATTGAAAGTGAAGTCGCTCAGTCATGTCTGACTCTTCACGACCCCATGGACTGCAGCCTACCAGGCTCCTCCTTCCATGGGATTTTCCAGGCAAGAGTACTGGAGTGGGGTGCCATTGCCTTCTCCAGACTTCTAATAAGTATGACTTCTAATAAGTATGCGTAAATAAAATAGAGTGAGGGAAGCCTAGAGGCCTAGGATTCTTCTCTCATTTTGGTTTTTCTTTTCAATTCATGTGGCAAATGACATTATTTTTAGTTTGGACTATAAATTTCTACTCTAACTATGTATGCTGTTGGGTTGGGTGTAAAGTGTTTAAGTCTGAGAGTACCTCTTCTCTACAGGGAAATTACAAACACGTTTGGGCTGAGAACTCTCAGAGTTGAGGAATAATTCCATTAAGTTTAGAGGTCTTTTCATAGTATTTTCAGAACATTAATCTATAAAGAAGCATTTATTTTCAATACTGTTATGACAGTCCAAATCTTTTTCCCCTTGAATTAGAAAAAAAAGAAAAGTGAGAATAGTAAGAGAAAAAAAGCCTTCATTCTTCAGAAACTTAGATGGAAAGTCAGGAAAGTTCTAATATCACTAAATTTCATGATTAAAAGACTAATTTTGTTTTATACAAGCTGTGGAATCATTTTCATCAGGAATAAAATAGGTGTCCATAATAATCTGACACAATTGGTATAATTCAACAATTGAATAGTGGAATCAATAATTGAACCAGTTGTTTTTCAGTGTGAGTGTGTGTATATACATATATATGTGTATATACACACCTATGTAAGCATGTGTTAGTTGCTACAATCCATGGAGTCGCAAAAAGGTGAACACAACTGAGCAACTAGCACATGCTTACACATGTGTGTATACATACACGTGTGTGCACATATTACATACATGTGTGGATACATATGTGTGTGTGCACATACACACATATGTAAGCATGTGCTAGTTGCTCAGTTATGTTCACCTTTTTGCGACTCCATGGATTGTAGCCCACCAGGCTCCTCTGTCCATGGAATTCTCTAGGCAAGAATATTGGAGTGGGTTGCCATTTCCTTCTCCATATATACACATATACATTTATATAATGGCTTCCCAGGTGGCGCTAGTGGTAAAGAACCTGCCTGCCAATGAAGGAAACATAAGAGACACTGGTTCAATCCCTGCGTCTGGAAGATCCCTTGGAGGAGGGCATGACAACCCACTCCAGTGTTCTTGCCTGGAGAATCCCATGGACAGAGGAGCCTGGCGGGCTACAGTCCATAGGGTTGCAAAGAGTTGGACACAACGGAAGTGATTTAGCACAAGTGGATATTTATATACATATAAACATTTATGTTGATATATATACATATATTTTAAAATTAAATTGTGATACATATATATTTATTACATATGCATATATAAAATGTATACATTTACCTGAGTATTTAATTATATATATATATATGTGTGTGTGTGTGTGTGTGTGTGACTCAGCTAGTGAAGAATCTGCCTGCAATGTGGGAGATCTGGGTTCGATCCCTGGGTTGGGAAGATCCCTTGGAGAAGGGAAAGGCTGCCCATTCCAGTATTGTGGCCTAGAGAATTCCATGGACTGTATAGGACATGGGGTCGCAAAGAGTCAGACATGACTGAGTGACTTTCACTTTTACATATATATATGGAAAGAGACCTGTAGCAATTTAAATCATGTTTTATTTTCATCTACTTTTGCAGTGTCAATGAAGTTTGATAACAATCCTAGTAAACTAGTTGGCCATGAACTTGTTTATTTTTCTTGCATACTTACTAAATTCATACATTTAAGGAAATATCGTGAATCTTTTAATCCTATGTAACTTTTCTTTTTAATTATAGAGTAAAAATGCTTACAAACATTTTGCAGTGTCAATTGACATTCTCCATGTAAATGGTCTCTCTCTCTCACATTGAGGTGTAAAATGTACTGCTGCTTCCTCTTAAACATATCTGTCAGCATCCATATTTTAAGGATATTGAAAAGGGTACAGAGCGGAGTTTCCACTGCACTAAATTTTTTCAATTATACTTACTTACTGAGACTTATTATTGGACTTGTTTACTGCAGGAAATGGCAAACCACTTCAGTATTCTAGCCTGGAAAATCCCATGGACAGAGGAGCCTGGCGGGCTACAGTCCATGGGGCCACAAAAGAGTCAGACAGGACTGAGCAACTAGGCACGCAGGCACTGACTAATAATATATTATCTTTTAGTTGATCTAAGTTTCTGGGAAATAGAAACCTTTGGTAAGCTGGGAAAATAAGTTTTCAATGTCCCCAGTGAATAAAATAGGTAGCTGTGTAAGTTGGTGTAACATTAGAAGGTATTTTAATCTAATCCTTTCTCTAGAGCAAAAAAAAAGAACTGAGTTTGAGTTCTGGGTCATCCTCTCTTTAACTGGGAAAGTTATTTAGCCTTTCTCAACATTTTTAAACTTCTATAATGTTATTGTGAGGACCAGCACAAATAATTCCATATAAAACATCATTCAGCACAGTCCCTGACAAAAAGAAAGCCCTGAGTAAATAATAGTTGATATTATTTTTTATTGCTGTTATTGGGGAAATGTGTGATTACAAGGGTAAGAGGTGACGTCTACATCTAAGTATAGAAAATTTCATTATTTGCTGCAGACATAGGACTTTTTATATTGTCCCAAGTCAAAGTAGAAACTAAATAAGTTTATTAGAATGGGATTAATTTAATTACAGCACAATTGACTAAGAAAACTGCCTGCACTGTAAAACAGGAACAGGGCTAATTTTGCAGAGCATGGAGAACTCTCTGCCTCTGGTAATTATAAATATAATTCACAAAACGATTTGCCTTTGCATCCTAATAATACTCAACATTTTGTAAGTTGATGGTGTGTGTCCATAAATTTAAGTAGCAGCTTAGTAAAGAAGTAACACAGATTTTAAAGCAGTGAGTGGTGTGCTGAAGTCGGCACTAGAGAGAATGAATAATTAAATATTCAGGTATTGTAAGCCTGTTATCAAACCACTGGCAGCTTGAAGTCAACCATAGTAGGACCATTTGAACCATGGGAATTGGCAAATGCTACAAGTCTCAGGTTCTCCTCATTCACCCCAAAGACCTGGTTTACCAGTAAACTACTGATGTGGACATATATAAATGTGTATTTAATTGCTAGCTTTACCACTAAATGGTTTATAGACTTTAACAAGTTATGTTGTATTTCTCGCCTGCTATTTCATCATCTAGAAAGCAATACAACTACTTGTTTGTCATAAGTTTGCTTTTGAGTAAATAATTTTAGCTACATGATCATCTAATACATACTTTGTAAGTGGTAGCTCATACTAATAAACCAAAATCATGTAAGACAAAACAATGAAAAGTAGAAATCAAAAGTAAATGAAGAAGTTTCAGAAAACAGGGTCTTTTGCCATATTAACATGCTTCTTTAAGGAAGTGATTCTAAATATACAACAGAAAAGAGGTGATCCACTCAAGTTTCACTCACCATGAAGAGATTGCTGTGTAATCCTCCACTATCCTCAGAGGGTGAGAAAAAGGAATCACTTCTACCCAAGCTCCTCTCTTGGTGAGCTTGTTGTTCTGGGACTGGTTCATATAAGCTGTCCATAGAGCCTTCCTGCAGTAGAGAGATTTCTGAGTTAAGGAATAACAAAATGATAATTTTCATTGGAAAGTTGTCTAACCATCTTCCCACCTTTATATAGAACCCTATCTAAATGATCCTTTGCACTGGGATTATACTTTATGGTATGCCAGTGTTCAACAGTGAGCAAGACGGCAAAGAGAGGCATTCTCAGTACTCACTAGAGAGCCAGGAATTAAAACAAAGCTCCAAGTGTTGGCGAAGGTAAAAGTGTTAGTTGCTCAGTTGTGCCCAAGTCTTTGCAACCCCACAGATGTCTGCCAGGCTCCTCTGTTCATGGAAATCTCCAAGCAAGAATATTGGAGTGGGTAGCCATTTCCTTTTCAGGGGAATCTTCCTGACCCAGGGATCAAACACAGGTCTCCTGCATTGCAGGCAGATTCTTTACTGTCTGAGCCACGAAGGAAGCCCCCAAATGAGGCAGTTTCTCAAGAAGCATGATGAGAACATAAAGTTCAAGGTACTAAGAAAAGACCTCTTTGGACACCAATAAACTTCACTGGCTGTCAGGTCAAAGTTTTTAATTATATGCATCCCTCTGATGAGAGTATCAGTTAGTACTATGTCCTTGTATAAGAAACACAATCTGTTGTACTTCAGCTTCCTCAACTGTAAAGTTGCAGTTTCATTCACCTTACAGAAGAACTCAGGATAAAATTAAATACAGAGTATGCGTTGAAACAGCAAAAATATCCCACAGGTACAATAAAGGCATTGATATTAATGTTTAGGGTATTTATATTAATAAGTTATATTATTCACTTGCTTTTATCCTTTTTTGGAACAATGAATTTTAAAATGTTTGAATCAACACGTAAAACTATTGTGAACTCTATGCTTCTTTGTATTTGGGAAGCAAACTTACTGACTAATTGACTTGTTATGATTTTTTTCCTTTTAAGATTGAATTGTATTGTGTGGCATCAGCTGGAGACAGTCTTAAGGGAGAGAGGTATACACTCAATATACTGAAAATTTCTAGTCATAGTAACTAATAATGCTGATAATGATGTCATCAATATAAATGTCTGCTGTATTACGAAAAAAAGTGAGTGAGAAATCATAGTACTGTACAACAAATGTTCTCATCTTTAAAAATACATTTTGTTAAGATTTAAACAAAATAAAGAGTGAATTGTATTCACATTGTCTACCTTTAAAATTTCAACCAATAAGTTCTGTGCTACTGTTCCATAATTCAAGCAGCTTGAGCTCCAAATGAATTACTGGGAAAATTTAAAAGACGTAGGTTAGGTCCTAAGACATGTGTGCTCTAAATAGCTAAACATGTAGGAAGGCTAAAAGCCTAACAGAATCACAAAGTGGTGACTGGAGGTTAAGCTTTGAACCTGTTAAGTGCCGGCCCGCAAACAGGGAGCACTGACAGATCTTGGACCTTGTGGTATAATGTGTAGTGGTGGTTCTCCACATTAAGCGGGCTCCCTGATGAAATCCTGGGGCTATAGCAGCGCCCACAGCTGTGGAAGGAGGCTCAAAAAAATCTCCTTCCCAAAGCTGCTGAGGCTCTTGCTTCTAGGAAGCCATAGGCCAGAAAAGTAAAATTCAACAATGCAGCTGGTAAACTGGGATCAAAGACAAGCTGCCAACTGATTCAGTGACTGGATCAGTAATAAACCAAGTATCACCCTGGGATGAGGTACATGGATCAGTAATGTAAACCTTGTTTCTAAACTGGGGCCTCGGAAAGACTGGAGATTTTTGCCTCACAGCTAGATGGAGAAAGGTAAAGAGGCCAGGAAGGAGAGAAAAGAGAGAGAGGAGGATGGAGGTGAGAGGAGAGGAGAGGGAAAGGCAGAGACTGAGACCCTCGGGGAGTGTCAGAGAGAGAGAGGAGAGCTATGCTTCAGCAGTAGCCAAAACACATGAAGGGATCAAAAGGTGAGAAAGTCAACTGAATTGTTAGTCTAAAAATAGAGCCCTTTCCATTTCCATTCCATTGCATCAATGTAAAATCATGAAACAGGTGAAAAATAATTTAAAGAGAACATTTATCATCTTCACATGAGCTAAATAAAAAAGGAATTCTACAATTAAAATAACCTATGATGAAACCAAAACAGGCAGAAACAAAAAATAAAATAATTAAGAGTCTTGAAAATAATATAACCACAGACATTTGCATTAATAATAAAAAATTGGGATGAACTCTAGACCTCTCAAAAGAATTAGAAAATGCTGATGAGTTCACCCAGAGTGCATAAAAGAATAAACAGAAAACCCACAAATCATTCGGGTAAATATGTGGAGGACATATTGAGGCATTACAACATCAGATTATCAGGAATTCTAGCAAAATAAAATGATAGATTTTTCTTGCCAGTCAAGAAAACTAGGGACCAATTTTACTTATAGTTTTAAGAACTCCTAGATGTAATATTAGCAAAATTAAATTTAATAATTTAAAAATACACCATGGTCAATTGCAGGAATACAAGGATATTTCAACATTTAAACATACTGTGACATACTTAAAAAATTTTATCACTTCAATAAATATTTTAAGGCTTTAAACAATTTATTATTCATCTTTGATAAAATCTCAGCAAATTGGGAAAAGACAGGACTTCCTCAACCTCATTAGGGTTATTTATCAAAAACCTCAGGAAGACTCAATTAGAAGTAATTACATGAATGTTAGAAGCAAGACTAGGATGCCTGCCATGTAGTATTTTTATTTGTCAGTATTATAGGGGAGAGAGAGAAGCTGAGAATGGTATAATTGCCACAGAAGGGGAAAACTTACAGATTATCTGCATAAAAAGTCTCAGAAAAAAACACAGATTATTAGAAGCAGAAAGACCAGGGTTAGATTCCTGGGTCGGGAAGATCCTCTGGAGAAGGAAATGGCAACTCATTCCAGTATTCTTGACTGGAGAATCCATGGACAGAGGAGCTTGGCAGACTAGGATTGGATTGCAAGAGTCAGACGCGATTTAGCAACTAAACCACCACCACTTCCCTGCAATATCAATATTTGAAAATCAACAACACAGCTATAAATCAGCAAAAACAAATTAGGAAAAAAAATCACAATAGCAACCAAAATTCTTTAGACCATGAGCAATAAAGTTAGCAAAAGATGCACAAGAATTTTTTAGAGAAAATTATAAAACATCTTTAAAGGCCATGAAAGATTAGAATAAGTGGAGAGTTATACATGTTTGTGGATGGGAGAACTCAACCTCAGAATGAAGTCAATTTCCTCTAAAGGTGTAAAATTTAAATTTATTTTAATCAAAATCCCATCAAAACCTTTCATATAACTTGATAAGATGATTCTGTGTATATATAGAAGCAAAGAGATTTAAAAAGTCCACATTTTGAATATGAGCAAAGAGAGGACATTCTTCGGAGTAAGATATCTGCTGAGCATTAGAATTACCTTAATAGGTATGTAGAACAGTCAAGAAGAAAAGGATGGGATAAAATATATAAACCGATGGGATAAATATGGGATAAAGGATGGGATAAAATATATTAACCAAATAAAGATAGGGGCAGCATTTCAAATCACTGAAGAAATGGTGCACGGGAATTTGATTTGTAACCTTACTGGGTTACAAAGTCAAGCTAAACTCAATAACTCTATGATGAGCTCAACAAAAAATCATCCTGCTTCTAATGAGCAAGCTTTCTAAAAGCCTTATCACCATGAAAATTTCTGGATTCAGAGTGGCCCACATAAAAGGATATTCCTGCCTCCCTTTTGAAAAATAGACTCCATTTGGAGTTTATAGATCCAAAATAATAGCAATCACCTTTAATGGATTATTTATAGTATCCTTGGTCAAAAATGGGTAGTTCATTAAGTATGGCTTTATATTTCTCTTAAAAATCCCATTTACTAAAAGATTTACAATTTCCCCCTATACTTAAGAGAATGTTTAGTTCATTCATTGACTTTCCTAATGCTAATCTTTATTCAATGCTTATTATTTAGCATCAAATATTTCATAAAGATTTAAAGGTCAATATATTTATATACAGTTCCAGTTTTAAATTCTGCAATCTCTCCACTAAATTGCTAGTTTTTAATCTTTTCTTTAAAATGCTGTGTCCCATATGTTCACATTCCTATAGGCACAGGTAAAATGTGTTTTGAATTATGCACCAATTCTTGGAAAAACTATGACCCCACCCCTTTTACACAGCTCATAACAGCACAGTAGGGTGTCACAACACCCTGATTGAGAGCCCAGATGCTAAATAACTTTATTTATTTATTCCCCAAGAAGGAATAAAATTACCTAAAATAATTTTGATTTTTTTTTTTACCAAGTACCTTGTGGACATTTTCTTTTAATAGTAATTAATTTTAACCACATATAAACTCGGAATGCTTACCCAAAATAAGTCAGTGTTAATGATAGTTCAACCTAAGATAATATGTTTCTGAACAAGGATAACTTAAAAAGATGGGAAAGAGTTGGTAGTCAAATTGAGTCCATGAGGCATGGCTTTGAAGCAATCGTTTTTGAGGACGTGCCACCTTCCCTATATTACAGAGAAAGACAATCACGCTCATTATATGGTTTTATGTCTTTACTAGCAGGATTCCAAAGCGTATGCAACGCTATGCTGAGCTCTGCTCTGTTATAGAGACATTAGTATACTGATGATAGCACCATTCAGCGCGACTTCAGAACACGGTTGGCGCTGCCGCTACACTGCCTATTTCCATGGGAAGTATATTCCTGTAAACCCCATATAGCTCTTTTAGAGCAACTAGAAGCGAATTCACAATACCATTTAAATCACCTGAAATGGGATTTCTCCAGTCAGATTTATATGGCACAAAGCGAAGTTGAGCACCGGCGGTTATTTTGTAAATTAGGACTATATAGGCAACCTGAACTCGATGATTCAGCCTGCCACAACTCACAATTGCATTTTATTTTTCAAGATGCTGTAAGATTAAATCCCTTATCTTGGCTTAAAATGCCTCCCGTTTAGGTATTACAACTATGTCAGCACCATCTCCAGCACTTATGTTAATCTTATTTGCAATTTGGAAAGAAAACACACATCAAAGTAAACCATTTTATTTCCTCAAATGACAGGGATCTCCCATCGACATCTTGAAAAACCAATGAATAGGCATAATACCCTGCTGTAAACACAGATAGAAATGAAAAAAATTATTTTTGAAATCCATTTTTAGCATTGGCAGATGGTCACAATTGCAGGTTAGAGTTATAAAATATTTCCAGATCCATGACTACCTGCTAACTTCCACTGATCCACTTCAGGCTAAAGGAAAAAAAAGCAATAATGTAAAAAAGAACTTGAGAGGTGCCTATTCCCTTGAATGAGCACATCTGCAGGACTGGATTAATCTATTGTACCTTGCATTTACAGGGCTGTGTAACTCAGAAAGCTGCCTCCATGGTGGTTTAACCAAACCAACATTGAACTGAATCCATTACTCAAACAATAAAGAAGGAATTTTGATTACTCAGAATGTCCCAAATCAAAACCAGTAACCCCAATGCAGCATATTTTGCAAAATAAAAATTCTTGTGCTCAATAATGAAAAGAAAATAGTTCCTCAGAAAGACTATCTACATCTCACACTTAGAAATTCAATATCAAATTGTTAAGTAATTAATCATTGTTACAGACAAATATATGCTGTTTTTGTAAATTAGTTGCCTCTGAGTTGGCTTAAGTTCTTTAATGAAAATGTTTCCTTATTTTTCTGATGTAGACTTTCTTATGAAATCCTAAAATGTATTAATATCTCCACCTAGGGGGTTTAGGGTAGACCCCAGTTCCAGACAATAAACTAAAAATGAGGATATAAATGGTACATGTATTAAAAATCTTACCAGCGAAAAGCAGAAGAGATTCATTTTGGTCAGTTTCTGCCCCTTGTCCGGTGCCCTCTCTCGGCTTCACAGCTGTTTGGACAGTGCTCCCGGGAGATTACTCCAGAGTAAAACCCTTGCCATAATCCCAGGGATTCACAGACCATTATCAAATGAGATAGGTCTTTGTTGAACAAACAATTTTCTAAATTAATGAGGAACCCTCACTATTAAAAGGAGAGAAGGAGACTAACCGTGATCTTTGTAAACAGATTTCAATGGTGACAATAATATTCCTAAAATCTGGAAGAAAAATGCAGTGAAACCAACCGTAGGCCTATTTGAGTTAAAAATATGAAGCACACCCTGGAGAAAATGGCATTCTCTGACATGAAAGTAACCCCTTCACTTGAAAGGGTTGGTTCAAAGCTCAGTACCAGGTGCTACCCATCACCCATGTCTTTTTCCTCTTCCACTGATTAAAATAATGTTGGATGCCTTATACTTTTTATGATGGTAAATTATGCATCATTTAAAATTTTCCATTTTAACCATTTTTAAGTGTACAGCTTTGTGGCATTGAATATACTCGTGTTATTGTGCAAACATCATAGTCATCCATCTCTAGAACATTTCCATTTCTCATAAAACTGAAATTCTGTACCCATTAAACACTAACTCTCCTCCATTCCTCCCTCCCCCCAGCCCCTGGTAACCAGCATTCTACTTTCTGTTTCTGTGAATTTCACTATTCTAAGTACCTCATTTAAGTGGAATCATGCAGTATTTGCCTTTTGCAATTAGCTTCTTTCACCTAGCATAATGTCAAGGTTCACTCATGTTGTAGCATGTATCAGAATTTTTTTTGAATGTAAATAATATTTATTGCATGGATGTACCACATCTTTTCAACGGAAATGGGGATGGTTAAGTCATTTATTTATTCATTCATTCATTTATTTTTATCGAGTATAGTTGATTTACAAGGGCTTCCTTGGTATCTTAGTTGGTAAAGAATCTGTCTGCAGAGCAGGAGACCTGGGTTCCATCCCTGGGGTGGGAAGATCCCCTGGAGAAGGAAATGGCAAACCACTCCAGTATTCTTGCCTGGAAAATCCCATGGACAGAGGAGCCTGGTGTGCTACAGTTCATGGGTTGCAAAGAGTTGGGCACAACTGAGCAACTACCATTGCTGTCTTAGTTTCAGGTACACAGAAGAGTGAATCAGTTATACATATACATATATCCACTTTTTTAGATTCTTTTCCCAAATAGGCCATTGCAGAGTATTAAGTAGAGTTCCCTGTGGTATATAGTAGGTCTTTATTAGTTATCTATTTTATGTACGTGTGTATAAATCAATCCCATCTCCCAATTTATCCCTCCTCTCCTCCCCCCAGATGTATATACCACAATTTGTTTATTCATTTATGTTGATGGACGCTTTGGTTACTTTTATCTTGTGTCTATTGTGAACAATGCTGCTTTGAATATGAGCATACATAAATCTATATGCATCCCTGATGTCAATCCTTTTGACTGTTTACTCAAAAGTAGAATTCCTACAAAGTTAAATTTAGATCTTGCAAATGCACTTTTACTTCAGCTGGCCTCAGACTTATTTTTCCTTTAAATCATATCTATTTCTGGTTCCCCACTGGAAATGGCACCTACAGTTGTACCTTGTCCTTTAATTAGGAATATATGGAGAGATGCATGGTAAACTTCTACTTTGGACTGTTATTATCTAAGAATACTTTGAGTTGCACGTAATAGGCTACAGGACAGACTGCTTACTCATAACTAAGAGCTGTTCTTCTCATATAAGTGTTGGTTTGTTGATTCACAATTGTTGGCGTTGATGCAGAGCATTGCCTCTGACTGTGTGGATTACAATAAACTGTGGAAAATTCTGAAAGAGATGGGAATACCAGACCACCTGACCTGCCTCTTAAGAAACCTGTATGCAGGTCAGGAAGCAACAGTTAGAACTGGACATGGAACAACAGACTGGTTCTAAATAGGGAAAGGAGTACCTTAAGGCTGTATATTGTCCCTGCTTATTTAACTTATATGCAGAGTACATCACGAGAGACGCTGGGCTGGAAGAAGCCCAAGCTGGAATCAGGATTGCTGGGAGAAATATCAATACCTCTGAGATGCAGATGACCTCACCCTTATGGCAGAAAGTGAAGAAGAACCAAAGAGCCTCTTGATGAACGTAAAAAAGGAGAGTGAAAAAGTTGCCTTAAAGCTCAACATTCAGAAAACTAAGATCATGGCATCCAGTCCCATCACTTCATGGCAAATAGATGGGGACACAGTGGAAACAGTGTCAGACTTTATTTTTTGGGGCTCCAAAATCACTGCAGATGGTGATTGCAGCCATGAAATTAAAAGACACTTACTCCTTGGAAGGAAAGCTATGACCAACCTAGACAGTATATTGAAAAGCAGAGACATTACTTTGTCAACAAAGGTCTGTCTAGTCAAGGCAATGGTTTTTCCAGTAGGCATGTATGGATGTGAGAGTTGGACTATAAAGAAAGCTGAGTGTTGAAGAATTGATGCTTTTGAACAGTGGTGATGGAGAAGACTCTTGAGAGTCCCCTGGACTGTAAGGAGATCCAACCAGCCCATCCTAAAGGAGATCAGTCCTGGGTGTTCATTGGAAGGACTGATGCTGAAGCTGAAACTCCAGTACTTTGGCCATCTGATGCAAAGAGTTGACTCATTTGAAAAAACCCTGATGCTGGGAAAGATTGAGGGCAGGAGGAGAAGGGGATGACAGAGGATGAGATGGTTGGATGGCATCACTGACTCAATGGACATGAGTTTGGGTAAACTGCGAGAGTTGGTGATGAACAGGGAGGCCTGGCATGCTGTGGTTCATGGGGTCACGAAGAGTCAGACATGACTGAGCAACTGAACTGAACTGAACTGATGCAGAGAATCAGTGAGGTCAGAGGCATGGTCACAGGTCGCAGTTCCCTTGCCCTTCCCTTCAAGGTCTGAATCTGGATGCAGAAGCTCAAAGCATGGAGCTCTCACACTTTGAGATGAAGGCATCAGACGCCATAGGCACGAATGTCAAGTAGCCCTCTGTGTTTGCCTGCTTCTCTGTGATCCTCCCAGGAGCCTTGGCATCCCTGTAAGTTATACTGTTTCTGCACGCTTTCTCAAGTTAGTACTTTGGGGGAGTATTATTTAAGGTATATTTTGAGAAGATGTGATATTAAAATTTAATCAAAACCATATGAAACTAGGACTTTGCGGTCTCTTTTAGAAGCTATAACACTACTTCAAGTGTTAATATTTTTAAAATTCGATTATGAAATTTTCACACATCCTCAAAAGTAGAGTTCAGTAATACCTTCATATTTCCATCATCTATGTGCAAAAAGCATCAAGATACCCTGTTTTGTCCTTCTCATTATTCTTTCCTGCTAAAGTATTTTAAACCCCAGACATAATGTCATTTCATTCCTACATACCTTCACTTTGTGTCTAAATTTTTTTTGACATTTTCTTAGATAATCTAAGGGCTATTGCTACACTTAAAAATTATTCCATGATAACTTCAGATACCTCCTTGTGTCACACCTGCCTTGGAAAGAGGGAGTCTCTTCTCCAATCTCTTGACTATGAGCTGAGGCCGGAACTACACTGATACATAGAACACGGGAGCAGCATCACTGTGCTAGATCTAAGCCTTGCCTTTAAGAGACTGCCAACTCCCCCTTCCTTCTTTGAACCCAGCTGTTATATTGTGAGGGAGCTCAAGCAGCACATGAGAAACCTGCATGAAGCAACACTGAAGGCTCCTGTGAAAGGCCCAACTGCTCTCCAAGCTAGCAGGCGGCACCAATGTGCTAGCTCTGTGACCAAGGCCGTCTGGAGAGCAAGGCCGAAGTCCCTGATGAGCCACTTTAACTATGCCAGATGGAGCAGAGAGTTGTCCCTCAAGAGAGCTGACTGAGTTACAAAATTGTAAGGAAATAAATTATTGGGTTTTTTTAATCCACCAAGTTCTGGGGTGGTTTGTCATGTGACAAGATAGCCAAAGCACTTTCCATAATTAAATTTCCCAATGATCTTTTTTAAAAAAATAATAATTTTCATTTGTTCCATTTGAGTCAAGATACAAACAAAGACCACATGTCACATTTGGTTGTCATGTCTGGCAAATTTCTTTAATCTTCCTACTAATTCCTCTGTCTGTTTGTCTGACTCTATCTTTTTCTATTTCTCTTCTTCTTCCTTGCCAAAGTGCTGTAAAATATATCACATTCATATTTTCTTTTTGCTTTAAAATTTTTCTCTCTGTACATTTTCCCTCAACTTGAAATTCTCCTGCAGCTGCTGCTGCTGCTAAGTCTCTTCAGTCTTGTCTGACTGTGCGACCCAGTGAACCACAGCTTGCCAGGCCTCCCTGTCCATCTTCCAACTCCTGGAAGTCCACACAAACCCATGTCCATTGAGTCATTGATGCCATCCAACCATCTCATCCTCTGTCGTTCCCTTCTCCTCCTGCCCTCAATCTTTCCCACCATCAGGGTCTTTTCAAATGAGTCAGCTCTTCACATCAGGTGGCCAAAGCATTGGAGTTTCAGCTTCAGCTTCAGTCCTTCCAATGAATATTCAGGACTGATTTCCTTTAGGATGGACTGTTTGGATCTCCTTGCAGTCCAAGGGACTCTCAAGAGTCTTCTCCAACACCACAGTTCAAAAGCATCAATTCTTCAGCACTCAGCTTTCTTTATAGGCCAACTCTCACATCCATACATGACCACTGGAAAAACCATAGCCTTGACTAGACAGACAGACCTTTGTTGACAAAGTTAATGTCTCTGCCTTTCAATATGCTGTCTAGGTTGGTCGTAACTTTCTTTCCAAGAAGTAAGCGTCTTTTAATTGCATGGCTGCAATCACCATCTGCAGTGATTTTGGAGCCCAGAAAAATAAAGTCAGCCACTGTTTCCACTGTGTCCCCATCTATTTGCCATGAAGTGATGGGACCAGATGCCATGATCTTAGTTTTCTGA